CTCCTTTATACTATTTTAGCTTTAAAAGGATCTTAGCTACTACGGATTACCTCCCTTCGAAGGAGCCTTTAATGAAGCCGAATAAAGGAAGCTATTTTCAGATTCTATATAGGGAGGCCAGAGTAATATAAGGTCACGACCGTACGACTATAACACGACCGCGACCTCGCCTCCGGCCGGGGGGGGGGGGTATATTACGGGCTATAGCCCGCAGAACAGTCCCCGGCAGTGGCCGGGATTAAAAAGCATAGACCCCCTAGCGAGCGAGGTCCGTGCGATTCTATATATACTTAGCCGCCTACACACCGCGTAGGCTTTTCCCTTCCTCCTTTCTCTCCTTAGTTCGAATAATCTATATTTTCGGCCTTAATACGTGAACAACTTTTAATAAGCCGTCATATTTATAGGTGTATACTTACCTATAGACGAGGACTTATTACTTATTAGCCTAATTACTACCCACCTCCTACTAGTAGCCTATCTATTAATACCCCTTAAGGTATTCCCCCTTAGCCTATAACCACTACTCCCGTAATAGGTAGATGCGTATATCGTGGTGGTGGTTTAGTAGAGGCGGGAGATCCTTACGGGTCACGTGCGATAGCGATAGCGGCTAGGAGGTATAAGGGGAATCTATAGCACTAATATCGTTGTTAATAGCTTACTTCCTCGCGCGTATAGGGTTATAAGTCCTTCTAGCCTTAAAAAACGCCTTTTAGGTGTTATCGTTCTATACCTTCTTAGTCTTATAGATACTTATAATAGATAGGCGTGCGGGTAATAGGCGCGCGGCCGATAAGCACCCCCTAGGGGTATCCCTAGCTATCCGTTAGTGGTTATCGTATTCTTTCACCTTAACGCCCCTAACCACCGCTAACGCTATAAGGAACGCGCGCGCGGGATTTCCGGGGATATTAAAGGCGTGGGAAACGGTTTAAACCTCGTAGTAGTAAACTGTAAAGTGTCCGCAGTAATAGCGGTAGCCTCTTCTATAATAATAGCGGTAGTATAGTCTTCGCCTATAATAATAGTAGTATCTGCAGTAATAGTGGTGCCTATAATAATAGCGGTAATATAGTCTATAGTAATAGTAATAGCCTCTCCCGTAGTAATAGCGGTAGCGTTAGAGTTACGAGGTTCTAAATCCATAGCCTAGGTATTAGGCTATAGATTTAGAACCTTACCTATAGTAATAGTAGTAGCCTTTCTCGTAGTAATAGCGACGGCCTCGCCTTCGTCCATAGTAATAGCGGTAGCGTCGCCTTTACCCGTAGTAATAGCGGTAGCGTTAGAGTCTTCTGACTTAAGATCTAATACGTCTACGGCTATACCCCTTAATAATAGCCTACTCGCGGTCTTATTAGATTAGGTGATACGGATAGATTATAGACGTTCCCTGATTTCTTTAGCGGAAGCTATAGCTTATAGTATTTTAATCCTACCGTCGAATATCTTATCTTTATTAAAGACTATATCTCTCGTGGTAATAATATCCGTTAGGTATAATAGCTAAATACAGAAGCTATTCGAGGATTAGTATCCGATATAATAACCGATCTATACCTTCGGTTCTAGCCTTTATAGGCGGTTTCTTTTAGCTTAGGTATCCCGTGTTTTTATAAAGGCTTTATAGCCGTAAGCTTATAGGTGCGTAAGGTTAGGTTAACGGCCGCGTAGGCCTTCGTATGGCGTTCGCTAGCCGTTAATATATCGTAGCGTCCTATTATATAGATATATAGTAGTCTTAAAGATCTTAGGCTAGATAAATATAGACAGATTAGCTCTAATCCTTATAGCCCTCGCCCCTTTCTTAATAATACCTCTAATCTATTCTATAACGCCGTTTTAATCCTATAAATATAGTACCGACAGCTAGCCTTCTACCCCCTTAATAGCGAGGAAAGTAACGACTTCGAGGTAATAAAATATCTTAGAATCGGCTTATAGGATATATAGCCGGATATCGAATTAAGTCTTAAGCAGGGCAAAAACGTCTTTTAATGCATATAGGATAAAGCCTTAGTCTCTCTTCTATAGGTAGTAATCCCACGTATAACCTATATACACGTCTATAATAAATATAATAGACTTATACAGGCCGCCAGCTAACGACTCCGCCTCTTCTAGATTATAAAAGTTAATAGCCAGGGCCTCTCCGGGCTTTAACTGGTAAAAGGATAGTATCCACCGGATCTACGTAGGCACTTACGATTACCTATACGCGTTATAGTCCGTTATACGAGGCCCCTTTATCTTTACCCCCTAAGTAGCATTAATAATCTTCGCGAGAGTATCGGTACCGTAATAGCCGAGGCGTTTATACTACCGTTATACCGTGGTCTTCTACGGTTACCGCGGTTATCGTGATCTTCTATACGGGTTATCGCGCGGGTGCCTTACCGAGACCGCGAACACGGTAGCGGCTATAGCTTCCGCGCGCTCGATTATATACTGGCTATAGATATCTAGTAGCTTATAGATAGGCCGGTTATTGGCGGAGCTAATAATTGTATCATTTACGGTATTCTAGTAGTAACCTTATAGGCGTAGCTAGTATTCCGAGATAATATTAGTAATAAATTCCTTATAGTATATAATGTCACGGAGGCGTAATAGCCTCTTCGTGCCCGATAAGAATTATATATATAGTTTAACGTCTCCGTATCCGAGGATAGAAGCCTTATAAGTACCCACCTAAAGGGATAAAGATAAAGTATCCGTGGGTAGTCTAATAGCCGTAAAACGGCCTTAATTATTAAAGATATAGATTAATAATCCTAAGTCTAGGATCGCGTAGTATAATAACGCTCTAGCTTAGTTAATAGAAAGGGATACCCCTTATTCTTATTATAATCTTAATAGTATCGTTATACGATAACACGCTACCCCTTAGGTTAGGTAGGCTCTTAGTCCCGTCGCGGTAACGGACAGGTCTTTATAAACTATTATAGTCATAGGCGTAGTATTATAAAGTTAATCTTCCTAGACTTCCTCTATCTTATTAGCGGTAGTAGCTACTACTTCCCGCCTTTTCTATATCGCGGTATCCACACGGCTTTTAAAATTATAGTTACGTATCTTCTTTTCTATAACCTTTATAATATCTTCGCGGCCACGCTAGGTATAAGGGCGTATATCCGGCCTTATATACTAGTAGGCGGCGGTGGTATAGGGGTTCTTATATATCTTATAAGGCCTCCTTATTACGGGAGGGATAGCCTTTACGGACGTGTTACTATAAGGACGCTTCTTATTATCTTTATTATTAGTAGTATCCTTAGTATCGGGGAGGTTCCTAAGGGTATTAAAAGTGCCTCTCCCGACTTTAGGCTTTATAGCGGAGGATTATAGGCTTTTCATATTACTAAGAACCGTATATAAAGCCTTTACGAAGTCGTTAATCATTAGCTCGTTTTCCGTAATCTTATCGTAGTTATTTACTAGGTAGTTATTACTCTATTCCTAGGCGATAGGTCTAATAGCTTTTAACGCGTCTTCTACCTAATAGTCCGCGCTTAATAGCTCTAAAACGCCTATATATTTATAGTATATTATCGCTATTTTCTAGCTTACCACCCAGGCGTCTATATCCTTAGGTATAGCCTTTATAGGCGTAGTATATCGTTAGTATAGGACTAGGGCTTCCTTACGGAGGTCTATAGGTATTAATTCTATATACGCGTGTAGGAGAGTAATCCAGGCCTATAGGTTATTTATAGTATCGTCCTATAGCTAGACTAGGAGGCTATATAACGTAGTATAGATAGTCCTTTTAATATAGAAGCGTACCTTGTTAAACTCCTTCTACTACGCGTTATAGTCTACCTTTTCTTCGCGGTATACGCGGCGATCTTATAGGTAGTGCGTACGCCCTTTTTTAGAGAGGTTATGAATAGATATAGGCGTCCTAGTTAGTGGTTCTTTTGTTACGGCTATAACCTTCTAGCAAGCGGCCGTTTTCCTTTTACCAGTAGCCGTGGCCGTTATAGTACTAGCCGTGGTAGCCGTGGCTACGGCGTCCGTAGCGTCTATAGCCTTATCGCCCTTTAGCGTAATAGTAGAAGACAGAGTAACCGTGATAGTAGAAGACGGGGTGGCCGTGGCCTCCTCCGCCTCGGGGTCTATAGTAAGGGCTTTATATTTACGGACGTTAGGCGGCGTAGGTATAAGGAGGAGATAAGCGTTAGCCTCCTTATCGCTTAGCTTTAGATTAAGGTAGTTATCCTAGCAGGAGGCCGATTTACCGTGTACCGCGCGCTCCTAAACTGCCTAATCCCTTTAGTTAATAAGGGTAGTAGCGGCCGCCTTCTATTCGGTGTTAGATACGTTAGAAGATATCTTTACTTACTTATCGGTTAATTAATTAATAGATAGGTTAGTAGGTTAATTAATCGCTTAATTAGTCTAATTAGGTCGATAATAGTTATTTAAAAGTGCTTATATAAATATAATTACTTTTATAGTGGAATAGGGGTAGCCTTATTAATATCTATTATTTAGACGTTATAAACCGGGCTTATAACTATCGCACGTTAAAATAGCACTTATATAATTAACTTAGTAGAGCAGAAAACTCGTGTATATATATTATAATAAGTTATATCTATATAAGTCTCTTATATCCTTAATTTAGGTGGTGAAGACTCTATTATAGGTACTATATCATTTAGATCCTATCCGGTCTTTTCCGGTATCCTCCCTTATTATATCCTGATGCCCGAGGTCCCCGAGATCCGAAGCCCTTAGTCATAGCGTGGATCCCCTATGGATCCCCTAGGGACCACGTCGTGTTCCGTGTGCCCATGCGACAAGATACAAGTGCTATTTGACGTGCGACAGGACATGGCACGGGAAGTGGCCGAGTAAGACATCTCAACAATGCAGCCCATATCATATCACGTGCCCTATACCCATTAGGCGTGTGTCCCCTGTGCCATTTTTTGATGGATCCGCTGCCTAAGATGTTAGGCAATCACTTTCAAGCCATGCTGCAGAAATGACCGGCGACCTGCTGGCATCTACGCAACTTTACGTAGTCCTGCATTTCCCGCCGCAACTAGGTGCGCGTTGCAGTCCGTCAACCACCACGTTTAGTTTCTCTCCTATTCTGCAGCGCCCGGCAGAATAGTTTTGAATTACTCGATATACGGATTGCGCCATGTCGACGCGTCAAGCTGCACTGTGAGAGACCACACCCCCGTGCTTTCAGCTTCCCGAATTACAACCCTAACCGGACATTAACCCAGGTCGCTCTATCGACGGTCCTTAAAGCTTTCCCTCGATTGGGCGGTTCACCGTCATCTCTGGAGAGGACAAGCCCTGTATATTCGGTCGCTCTTCGAGGCCAATCGCCATGTCACGGATCCACGACAGAAGAGGGTACGGCTGCGGCCTCTGATCTCCCACCATCTCCCACCGAATGTTTTCTACAGGTCCCTAGCAGTAGCTGACATACGCATGCGAACGCGTGCGAACTGCAGGAGCTTCTAGCCGAGACAGAAAAGCTACTGGAACGATGGAAGCATCCCGATCCGTATATCCCCCCCACGGCCCCAGGAGGTATGAACATGATGAACACTTTATTTCATCATTTTGGCGCTATACTCACCGTGTCCAGGGTCGAAATATGAACGCAACCTTCCTCCCCCTATCACTGACCGTAAGACTCATTTCCATTCCCCAGCGTCCCATGCATCCATCAAACAATCTGTGCCCATGCTAAGCACTTCAACAACAGCCCCACCGCCCATCAAGTTCTGAAGCATGTATTGTAATGGAAAGGAAAAGGGTCTGCACGGTACATAAGATGGGAATAAGATAGAAATTAAATTACTGGCGGAGGATCACAAAGCAGGGCTGCGATTTCAGGACATTGTGGCTTGAATGATCTGACGCGTAATCCCTGGTCCACGGTCGACGGTCTCCGTCGCTGTCTCCGTCGCTCTGAACCGAAGATATGCTCCGCACCAAGCTTCAACTTTCCATATGCCGAAATGGCACCATGCCATAACTCAAAAATACAAATTGACAATGCATACCAGCCTTGCGGATTCGTCAACAGATAAGTGTGGAGTTGTAAAATCATATTGCGAACAACCAGAAGACAATAGTGGCGGGGCAGACGCAATTACGAATGTAAATGGGACGTTTGCATCTTAAAAATGTATTTTCATTCATGACCATAACGACCATAAGCCATGGGGATTATTGTACAACCCAAACGCAGATAAACCGCAAAACAAAAACGACCCTGAACCCTGGACCCGGACCCCAATGGCATGCCAACCCAAAGCAATGAACCGGAAATGAACGCGAAAATAAAAGCAGAACTTAGAGTGGTTGGCTAGCGGGCTTGCCACCCTTGCCACCGGTCTTCTTGGGCAGTAGGTCTATAGCGGATATTAGCACTGCCCACTATTCACCCATGTGATGATAACAAGGTACTCACTCTGATGAATGTTGGGGAGGACGCCGCCTTGGGCAATAGTGACGTGGCCCAAGAGCTTGTTCAACTCCTCGTCATTGCGGATCGCGAGCTGAAGGTGACGAGGAATGATACGTGTCTTCTTGTTGTCGCGAGCGGCGTTGCCAGCCAACTCAAGAATTTCGGCAGCGAGGTACTCTAGTACGGCGGCGAGGTAGACGGGAGCACCGGCACCAACGCGCTGGGCATAGTTTCCCTTGCGAAGCAGACGATGAACACGGCCGACGGGGAACGCCAGTCCAGCCTTGGAAGAACGACTATCGCACGTGTCAGTTGAGAGCAAGCTCAAGAAGGTTCGTTGCATGAAATGCGGCTTGGACACACAGCGCCGACATCTGGGACAACGCGTGGGGGGAAAGCAGGGGAATCAACAAACTTACGATTGCGTGTTCTTGGAACCGCTGGCCTTGCCGCCGGATTTGCCGCCTCCAGTCATTTTGATGGTTTTGTGAGAATGGGTGGTAACTAAGGAATAGTTGAGATGTAAGGCGTGTATAGAGGCGCGATTTGTGATGCGGTCGAGGATGGAAATGTGAGATGAAGAGGGCAAGTGGATGTTGAAGGGGGGTAGACAAATTAAGTAGTTTTCGCGTTAGAGCATTGACTTCCCAGATCACCATACCGTGTTTTGGCGCTAATCCCAAAGTGGACACGTGATGTTGTCACCTCACTTTTTCTGGGCCCTTTATTTTTATTTTGGATTTGAGGACAATGCCGTGTACCTATATGACATAAACGCATGAGGTACGTACGTCCCTGCCCCCTTATGTCCAGCGACCTGTTTCAGTCATCGACAAACCACACATGGCTGGCCTCGTTCGACAGCATGTTTTACCTTATATTGGCAAACTATGATTTTACTCTGGCCTTTTGAAACATTCTACACCACGCCGGAAAGACTATCCCTTTCTGAAAATATTCACAAGAAAGGTGGCTGGATCTGGATGGCTTCATGTGGCAGGCGGGTCGGCTTACTCGGAATATGCGATGCGTGCCGGGTTATGCGATGCGTGCCGAGTTATGCAATTCGTACTCCGTTCCAGATATTAGGTAGACAAGTGGGGCATTGAACATACGCGAAGTATGGAGTACGGATATGTAAATTATGTTCAACCCGATTCTCATTCCTGGATGGCTGGTCCCAAGAGCGTCCCGATATCCTATGTCGAGGGAGCTTGGCTTCCACATTGCCCATGCCGGCTCCGTGGCTCGTAGCAAAGTGGCGGATGGGTTTTGTACGAATATACCCAGGCATACGTACCGCTTCGGATCCGGAGACGAGGGCCAAACAACAACGGCTCGGCTCTTTTGCGGGGCAGTGGTATAAGACAAATTCGACGGACAGTTCGTATCAATACCAGGAGTCATGTAGTGTACGATGGAGGTGTCTAGTATCGCTGGGTGAAGGATGGAAGTCTTGCTGATCAAGTCAGTTTAAGGCCAGTTAACGCCCACACATCTCCCGAGGACATTTCGTAGATGCAGCAGAGTTATAACCGGCCACTATTAATATGACACGTGCTGGTTCATTGTTATTGTTCCTCGTCGAGGACCTCAACTACAGATTAGACTCCGATCACATCATGATGTCTCCTCTTCGTTACTTCAATATTTTGAGTTCCAAGAAGTCAGCCTTAAGCACACTCCCAAGCGATCGTTGTCGCCGACTGGGAGTCGGTTTGTCGTCAGTGTCCTGTGAAAGCAGAACAATTTCACCTTATTCAAAGTACAATACTCTGTACATGACTGCACTATGTGAAGCGAAGACCAGTTGAGTAAAACTCGAACTCGGTTTGGTAGGGTTTGGGATGACTTTTGGGGAGTGCCACCGGTAAGATAAACGTTAGGTACGTGGTAGGTAATGGGCTTGCACGACCCCCCCTCTTCTCCCAACTGCGCACCTTAATTACCTGATTGGTGACCGCTAAACTTTACAGTTGAGAACCAATAACAAGGCTGTGTTTTCCGTAAGCGGGACTTAAAATTGACGTTGTTTTTAGACCCTCGATTGTGGCTTGGCGGAGCAAGGGAGGCGGTCCGGTCACCCATTCGCGAACGCGTCCCTTTTTCCCCAAATCAGCCCCCATACACGCATCAGATCAGTAAAGGCGCTAGTATGCGTCGCGTCCAGCTACAAAAACCCAAGGCGCCCCCCCAACACTCTCTCCATTCACGAACACTTTTCCATCCCCCTACTTTGATTGATCGCAACAACCACCTTAACGTATCCATCTCCAACTTCCATTACCAATTTCTTGACCACACAACATCGCATTTTTTTCTCTCCCACCTTCAAAATGCCTCCCAAAGCTGCCGACAAGAAGCCTGCCAGCGCGTCCAAGACGCCAGCGACTGCCTCCAAGGCTCCCGAGAAAAAGGATGCCGGCAAGAAGACAGCTGCCAGCGGCGATAAGAAGAAGAGGACCAAGACGCGCAAGGAGACTTATTCCTCCTACATCTACAAGGGTATGTTGCGGAATTACATTTCGGGCGCCGCATATCTATCTCCATTTCCAGCATTTTTTGTCGACACGTTACTGATATCATCATCGCTGCAGTCCTCAAGCAGGTCCATCCTGACACCGGTATCTCCAACCGCGCTATGTCCATCCTGAACTCTTTCGTCAACGGTATGTCCATCGGAACAGTCCCGGCATCTAGCTGCGTGCTAATCTTCTGCAGACATCTTTGAGCGAGTCGCCACCGAGGCCAGCAAGCTTGCGGCATACAACAAGAAGTCCACCATTTCTTCTCGGGAAATCCAGACCTCGTGAGTTTCTCTCCCGCGCCACGCAATGCAGCCCACCATGCTAACCGGGCTTCTCTAGTGTTCGGCTTATCCTCCCCGGCGAGCTAGCCAAGCATGCGGTTTCGGAAGGAACCAAGGCTGTCACGAAGTACTCGTCATCCACCAAGTAAAGTCATTTGGGTTTGCTGCTTTGTCTTTTTCTCTCTTTCGGCATTGGATTTCTTGGCATGGGTGCTATGGTGAGGCCTTCGGTACATTGTTCCGTCTGGGTCTCTTAATGCGTTATGGTTTGCTTTTTGGGGGCATTGTCTTCACACGGTCAATACGGGGTTTGCGGTTGTACAATACCTCGAGAACAGGGTCTCGGGCGAATGAAATCGAGCAAATCAACGGTTTATTAACACATGAACTCTACGTCTTTTACTATCACCCGACTTCCACTACTTCAAACCTGCCCTTGACAATTTAGCCAGTTTGTGTCTCGCACAGGATGGATGGCTAACCAAGCCCGGCCTTTCCCAGCTTCACGACGTGGGCAACAGGCTGCAAAATGCCCTTGTTCGTCATGGTGCCCAAAGCTGTGCCATTACTCCAACCCATTCTCTCGAGCATGGCTCGCCCACGATTTTCCTGGCCAAGTTCTGGTGCCGAGCCCCCGACAACCTCACCGTCGCGATAGCTAGTGGCGGAATGCCCAGCACCTCGTCGGCCCGAACTCTTTTGCAAAGCTGTGCTGCCCGCAATATCGCGCGTAGGGTAATATTTACGGGCGACTTGAGATATGGCCACGTCAAAAACGTCTTCCGAGTACTTAAACGTTCTCACAGTCCGGGTAAGTGTAGGACGGCGCTGGTTTCCAGCCCCGGTCGATTTCGACTTGATGTAGAACTTGTTAGCTAATTCATGAATGACCTTTCGGGCGTGGTTGTCCATCGGAGGCAATGTTGAACTGTTTGGCAGTCAGTATAATGCCCCTTTCTTCCTTTTCCTTCCTGACCTCCTGAATAGGGAAATACTTTCCTGCTCTGGGCACCAAGGAGAAATGACCTCAGTTCATCCGCAATCTGATCAAGAGCCATGCGGTGGGGATACTTCGCTCGTAGGTCTTGTGGCTCAGTCTTGCGGCCAAGAAGACCCAATGCTCGGAGTTCCTGACGCTCCCTCTTTCTCTCGGCTTTCTTTAATCTGTTCCGGTTGAATGCTGTCTGCATCTGCCCCTCGAGTTCTGAGTCAGAGATACCAAATTGAGGTAATTTGCTTTTCTTCTGTTTGCGCCTGCTCTCTGGAGTCACGTCCCAGCTCATGTAGTCGGTATCGACGGGACCTATTCCCATCCTGTTCAGGGAGCACATCGCGACAAAGTCTTCCTCTTCTGCTATATCGTCGTCGCTTGGTGAATGAATGCTTGGAGGGGAATCCTTGTCGGCTGGTTCTGTATCATGGCTGCGTGTTGCGTCTGTCGTACGCATCTCGGCATCGAAATTACCAAGGGATATTCCTGAGGACATCTCTACCCTTTGCTCTGCACCAGTGCCACCAGCCAAACAATGATCTTCGATTGGAGACTCTTTTTGGGTGCTGTCGAGAGTCCGGATCAAGCCATCGAGATCGCTGAGGTCCGCTTTATCCTCGCTTTCATATTGTCTCATATTTGCGATGTAGTCTGCTAGCACTTCGTCCTCCTTTTTTACTACGGAACGTGGTCGAGTAATGCATTTTTTCCGGGCTTTTCGCCTCTTCTCCTTGCTGATGTTTTTGGATGCTGGTTCGTGGTTGTGGAATGTTTTCGGGGAATCGTCTTCTAACGTTCTCTTGATGGCACTGGTGCAGGCGGCTTCGCTGACGACGTGGATCTCCGAACGTAGCTTCGCCAAGTCAAATGCCTGGGCTACCGGAGATTTGGGTTTGCGTGGATGATTACGTCCTTTGAATAAGATAACTTCTTCGCTGGAATCCGCGTCAGGGTCGTCCGATGCGTAGGATGTTGTTCCCTGTACTGGGATTCGGTCACGATACGACGAATCGCGTGTCGTATCAACAAAGAAAAGCGAGAGACTCGCCGGGTCCGAGTTGGTCTTCGATGAGCCCGGAACGTCCGCTTCACTTGCGACAATAGATTTAGGTTCCAAATAACCGCTCATAAGGTCTAGGCCCGAGGGAGCTGCCGGTATGTTTGAGGCACTCCGTGACACCGAAGTTTCCAACTGGCCTTGGTCACTACGTGAAATCGACTCGAAAGAATAACTACTTTTCGTTAACTCTGTCTCGAGGGTGGCTGTTGCCGGTCCAGACTTTGGTGTCATATTGCTCGCAGGTTCGTCTTCATGCTCGTTAGACCGCTGCGACAGTTCTTCTAGAGCGTTGCTAGCCTTTTGTTGGAGCTGTTGTTCGAGTTGTCCCGTAGGGTCAACAGCCCCCGCACTGACAAAGCAAACAGGTCGACTACGCAGACGAGACTCCCTGCTCCAGGCATCCTGTCCATGAGCCGTACTGCGCGCTTCGTCTGCTAACGTGAATGCTGCAGTGTGGCGGCCTTTGTCAGATCCAATAACATTCCTAACCAAGAGTCCACTGACCTGTCGATGACCCCCGTAATTCTTGTTGGTTCGACGCCGGACAATCGGATTTTGTACTAATGCGGAATTTGCCATTGCGAGGCGATGCTCGGTAGCCTCCCCTCTTCGTACTTGACCGCGGCATAACACGCCGGAAGGTTGGTAGGTCGCAATTGGAGGGGTGCCAGGAGTTTCATTAGGCAGATGCTCCAGGGTACTGTAATTCCCGAACACGTTTGTTGATGGACACGAGGGGGCAAGGAGGAGTTACAGGTTGTCGCATGGGCACAGACCATGCATGGCAGACCATGCCTGACTAAGGGCTTCGGAGCTCGGGGATCAGGATATGACAGGGGTGGATACCGGGAAAGACCGGATGGTAATTATAGGAATAGAAGAAACCGATTAGATCGCGATAGAGTTAGATTCCGGATATAGAATAGACTCGATAGGGGGCTTATAACCCCCACTACTAATTAAAATAGATTCTTATATAACGGCGAAGAAAAGATAAGACCGCCGAGAGTAGCTTACCCAGATTAGGGTAACTAACCCCTAGTAGACTTAATAAAAAGCTAATACTGAGCGTGGGAGCGAAATAACGATACCTTATAAGAGGACCCGATAGTCTAGTAAGGACCTTTATAGACCCTATAAGCAGGTCGTGATACTTCTTTACGAGGCTTAGCGGGTAATACTTTTAATATTAATATCTGTGAGTATAGCCCCTTTACTAATAGGTAATCTCCTAATCGTAAGGGGCCTCTTCCTTTAAGATAAGTTAGAAAAGCTAGACCCCGAAGATAAGTATCACGGAGTAAAATCTAAGACTACTACCACCCTCTCGTTAAAGACCTTATTACTCTTATTAAGACGAGATAATATATATAATAACCAGCTAGTATCTAGAACACTTATAGGATCTTTTTACTAGACGATTAGTTCGAAGAACCTTACCCTAAACGCCTTAACCCTATTATTATTATTCGCCTACCCCCTCGCACTGACACTTAAAACACTATAAACACTTAGAATTAGTGATACGCCTCGGAACCCCACCGGGTACCGTGGGCGTACCTTACAGGTGCTAAGGCATATACTATAGCACCCACGGGGTATACTATAGAAGCCGTGGCGTATACTAGGGTATCCGGAGGATTATATACGTAGATACCGAGGATCCTACGGGGTTTACCCGTGGGTATATTAGTCCTGGGGGCGCGCCCCCTTTTCTAGCTTAGAGAAGATATCTTATTTTACCACCCTTTACGGCACCCTAAGGTTACCCCTTTAGAAAAGCCTGGCTCCTAAGTCTAAGAGTACTAGCTAGCTAGAGGATATACCGGTTAGGTATATGAAATAGTAGTAACTGAGTTTCGCGCGAGGTTTACGTACCGCCGTCTTACGAAAGCTACGCGACGCCGCCGCGTCCGCCGTAGTTACTAAGTAGAATAGCTTAACCGCTTATCGCTAGACGAAGACGCCTCCCCTTTAATAGGTCTAGGCGTGGAGTATATAAGGGAACCACTATCCTTAGGTCGTACACCGTTAAACGCTATCTATACCGCCTTTATAATAAATACTAGCCGTGGAACCCTAAAGCTCCGAATTATAACCGATACTAACCCCGCTAATAATATTCCCTGCCCCTAGGACCTTAAGGGAATAAGGAATATCGTTAGGATAGTTAACGACTATCCCGATCTTACCGAGGAAGCCTTTTCGCCCGAGGTTCGCGCCCTAATTCGTATTACTAAGTAAGCCTATAATCTCCCTAGCGTGCCTAGCGCTAGCGGCGCCCTAACCTTAAGAGGAAGAACCACGGCCGCGAGAACCACCGAGGAACCCACGTACCTATTAACGTGGACCTTAACGCCGGCGAGATTCACTAACGCCGTGGCTAAGTAGCTAAGTAAGGAGCCTTAATACCGGGAACTCCTTATAAGGCCCGGCCGAACTCGGGATCCTAAGGGAAAATAGCCTATCCGTCCCTTTACTGCGGGTCCTAAACTTCCGACTATTAAGCCCGAGCCCGATTATAATAACGCAGGAGCAGGGCTAAGCTTACTCCCCTATACCTAGTTATAAGCATAATAGTCGGCGGATTCCCGGAAGATAAAGGGGATATACTATACCCTCTTATCGAATAGCGTATCGACTAATAGTCTAACTTATCTTTCCTACTTATATTAGCCGCCGACTCTATTTCCGATACTACTAACCGCTAATCTTTTACTATAGACCGCTATACTACTAAGTCCACCCACTATTCGCTAACTATAGACGATAAGGATAAGTACCGTAGCCTAACTTTATCGGATATTATCTATATTCCCATGACCGCGAATACCGGAGGAAACTCCGGAAGCCGTGGGGACTACGCCGGTCCTAACGGTATATAAGGCCACGCCGCTAGTAGTTAAGGGAGGCCCTTAGGTAACGGCGGTATAGACCGAGGATAAGGTAATTAGGGGAACGCCCCTAGTATCCCCGGTTAAAGTGGCCAGGGCGGCGCGCTAAACCCGCCTAATAACTAAGGCGCGAGCCCGTAAGAGCCGTTTATATACGTTTAACCGGCTAACCTTACCGCGTTTATCGCGTAGAGTACCGCTAATTTCCGGAGCGACTAAACGCCCTTAAGTAGTCACCGCTTTAAGGCCGATAACCTTAGCTACTTTAACCCTCCCCGGTATTTCTCTACCGAAAAAGACGTACGCACCGAGGGAATTAAGCTTATTTTTATAGACGTTTACCGGTTTACCGACGCTATCGAGTAGTATACCAGTCTAAGCGATAACTATAAGCGAAGCGTACCCCGCGGCCTACCGCGGTGCCTCCTTAGTAAAGCGTCTATATAGTTTATAAGTCTTAACGTGGGCCGCCGAGAATTCTTTAATAAGGATACTACCGTGACCGATTAAATAAAGGCTTTCTAGGAAAGGTTTAGGCTCCTACGCGAGGAAGCCGAGTATAAGCTACGCCGGCAGAAGTATACCTTAGAAGATATAGTACTCCGCCGCGATATTCGTATATTCGCCGATAAGGTTATTCGCCTAGCTAAGGCCGCCGATAAGTCTAAGGAAAAGCTTCTATCTATTATCTAGGATAAGCTTAACGCGAACCTAGCGGCCACTATAGTATGACCTAGGCCTCTTATCTGCTAGACGGATTTTATAACCACTCTCGCCGATTAGATACCTAGATAGTACCGGAACTATACCTAGGGAGGTTAGAAGCACCTTGTTAGCCGCTATAGCCTCCCGAGGACTAACCGGGATACCCGTGGACAGTATAGGGCCTCGCCTAGCGTCTACGTCCAGCCACCCGCTCCACGGTATTACGACTAACGGTCTAGCCCTATACCGGAACGCCGCCGTATACCGTAACCTAACCGTTACTCCCCTAATCTAAGTTAGTTCCGCCGTAACGATTCACTATACGCCCTGCCTATACTAAATGCTAATCGCTTCGTGAATGATAAAGGTTAACGCCTACTAACTAATAACGCGAACGACTAGTCTAACCGCTAATTTCGAGACCGTCGTTAAGAGAGACTATAGGAACTCGTCTATATAGTTACCGAGGACGCCGTAGGACCTATATCGGAAGACGACGCTAACGCGGAGCCGGAAGATAAGTACTATTATTAGGAGGAAGACTCTAAAGGCTCCGTGGCGTCGTATAATGATAGCACGGATAACGAGAAAAGTGAATAACTATACTAAGTCGCTAATAGACCCGGTTTTATACCTAAGTATTCCGATCTCTACTAGGTACGCTAAGAGTATAGTAAATACTATACGACTATAAGATCTAACGTCGAGACTATTCACTATAAAAAGCACTATCGCTAGCCGTACTTACCGGCGGACTAAGGTGGATAGGACTCTCCCCCTATTAACGGCGCTTTCTAGAAAGTGCGGGATCCTACTAAAGGTCCTTACGAGTACACGTACGCCCGGATCTAAGCCCGTGGCACGCTAATAGGCGAGCCGTTCGAAATCTATATCGACTTAGGAGCCTCCTGCTATATAGTAAGCTAGTAGCTCCTTAGTCGATTTCCCGATAAACACGTCGATTCCACTAAACGCTCCGTCCTTTAGGGTATAGAATCGATAAAGACCCTAGAATAGGCTACCTTCAACGTACTGGTTCGTGGCACGGTAGGTAAAGACACGCGGATCGGCCGCTTATACGTAGGAGCCTAGATCGTTCCTAGGCTTAACGCCGGTCTACTCCTAGGATAAGAGTTTAATTATCCTAATAGCCTGGATATCCTTAATACGCGGGACGCTATTCGTGTTAGCGCCTACTAGGATCTCCTAGTATTAGCTCGAGTATTTGCTAAACGCTCGCCGGTCTAGCGGAAACTTAAATCCACTAAGAAGACCGTGATTCTACCCCGGTAGTATAGATTAGTTCCGATTTAGAAGCCGGATATTAATATCGACTCTATAGAGTATACGCCCGATATCGCGGGATCCCTTAATCTACTCCTACGGGATTAGTTAAGTATACCGATCTTTAACGCTAGCGACTAGCCCTTAGTTATCCTATAAAGTGCTAGATTAGGTTATATCGAGCCCTTTTACGTAAACGGTTACTTTTACGCCGAACGCGACGATACGCACGATATCTTAATAAAGCGTATAAACGCTATAAAAACCCCGGCGGAGGCGGTAAAAGGCGATCTCTTCCGAGGGTATATCACGCCCGAGGGGAAACTCGGTATCGCTAAAAGCCCCGATACTCCTATAGAGACTACTAAGGAAAGCGTAACGATCTACCGCCGTAAAGGCCGGGTTATCCGCCGCCTTTATAAGAAGGAGGTTATTTCCGTGGTTAACGCCTAAGCCTTTTTCTATTAATTCCCGGTATATAAGCCGTATCGCGAGCGGTTTACTATCGTCTCGTACCGAGGATAGGAGCGTTCTAAAGTCGCTTTTATAGGTTTCCGTAACTCGGCGCACGTCTAGCGATATATAGATAAGCTTCTTCGGCTATATAAGGATTTCGCCGTAGCCTTTATTAACGATATCGTGATCGCCTCGGATTCCGAGGATAAGCACGCTACCTACTTAGAGTCCGTTCTATCCCTTTTTAATCGTAAGAGGATCTCTATCTCCCCTAATAACTTCTTTATCGCGTACCCGTTGGTTTAGCTACTAGGATTCGAGGTTAACGCCCTTAGCCTATCGAATACTAAGGAATATATAGCGGCCCTCCGTAAAGTACTGCCCCCGAAATCTCTCTAAG